GGGCTCCATCTCCATGGAGCTGGTGCTGACCAACAAGGCCCTGCAGGTCATGTCTGACTTCGCCATCCAGTTCAACCGCAACAGGTGAGGAGCCCCAGGAGCCAGGGCCCCCAGCTCCGTGGCTGCGCATGGATTAGGCTGGGATGAAGGGGTGGCGAGGGCTGGACCAGCCTCACGTGATGAACCCCGCTCTCTGACGGCTCTGGTGGTGATGAGCATCAAACCAAAGCCTCTAAGAAGTTGACTGAAGAGGCTGTTCTCCAAGCGCTGCCCCATTGCTTGTCCTCAAAGGGGCGTCCCGAGGGATGGTCCTGAGGGATGCTCCCAACGGGTGCGAGTCTGCCTGGGAGGAAGGGGTGAGGTTTTGGGCCTGCCCTGGCGTGGGCAGGAGCCAGCCTGGTCCTGGGCATCCCCGCAGGAGGACAGGGTTGGGGTGCCCTGTGCCATCACCTGCTCCCCCCCACACCGACCCCCTGCCCCTCCTCCTGTGTCCCCCACCTCCAGCTTCGGCCTGGCCCCAGCGGCTCCTCTCCAGGTCCACGCTCCCCTCACCCCCAACCAGTCGGTGGAGATCTCCCTGCCCCTGAACACGGTCGGCTCCGTCATGAAGATGGATCCGTTGAACAACCTCCAGGTAGGGGATGGAGCTGGGAATGGGGGCTGAGGAGCAGGAACCACAGTGCTCGGCTCAGCACGAGGCAGGTCTGACACCACCTCGGCGGGGGAGAGCCTGCCCTTGGCTTGGGTGCAGCCTGGCTCCGGAGGGATGGGATTATGGGATGGGATATGGTGGGATGGGGTGGGATGGGATGATGGAATGGGATATGATGGAATGGGATGATGGGATGGGATGATGGGATGGGATGGGATATGATGGGATAGGATGATGGAATGGGATATGATGGGATATGATGGGATGGAATGATGGAATGGGATATGATGGAATGGGATGATGGGATGGGATGATGGGATATGATGGGATAGGATGATGGGATGGGATATGATGGGATGGGATGATGGAATGGGATATGATGGGATGGGATGATGGGATGGGATATGATGGGATGATGGGATATGATGGGATGATGGGATATGATGGGATGGGATGATGGAATGGGATATGATGGGATGGGATATGATGGGATGAGATGAGATGATGGAATGGGATATGATGGGATGATAGGATGGGATGGGATGATAGGATGGGATATGATGGGATGGGGTGGGATGATGGGATGGGATGGGATATGATGGGACGGGATGATGGGATGGGATATGATAGGATGGGATATGATGGGATGGGGTGGGATGATGGGATGGGATGGGATATGATGGGATATGATGGGATAGGATGATGGGATGGGGTGGGATGGGATGCTCTCCAGGCTGGAGGAGGTGTTGATGTCCCCATGTCCTTCCATCCCAGGTCGCAGTGAAAAACAACATCGATGTGTTCTACTTCAGCACCCTGTACCCGCTGCACATCCTCTTCGTGGAGGACGGGAAGATGGGTGAGTTGAGCTGGGTCTGGAGGTGCTGGCCCAGCCTCTGACCACATTCCCAGCCCTGGGAATGCTGCTGGAAGCCTGGAGCACGCAGGGGCGCTGCCAGGCCTGCATTGGCCACACTGTGGTACCCGAGGTGCTTTGAGGCACCCTCTGGCTCCTCACTGCCAGGGGCAGCTCTGGCTTTGCTTGGCTCATCCAGATGAGGACTGGGCACTGGTGGTGCCCCTCAGGGCTCGGTACTGGGGCCAGGGTTGAATGTCCTCACTGGTGACCCCGATGAGGGGACTGGGGTGTCCCTAGTGAAGCTGCAGATGGCACCAGGTTCATGTGCTGGAGGGCAGGAGGCTCTGTAGAGGGACCTGGACAGGATCCATGGGATGAGGTTCAAAAGGCTCAGTGCTGGTCCTGCACTTGGGCCACAACAACCCCATGCAATGCTCCAGGCTTGAGGAAGCGCAGCTGGAAACTGCTCATGGGGATGCTGACTGATGGAGCTGAACATGAGCAGCTTGTGCCCAGGCAGCCAGGAAGCCACCAGCATCCTGGCCTGGATCAGCACCAGTGCGGCAGCAGGGCCAGGGCAGGGATTGTGCCCCTGCACTGGGCACTGGTGAGGCTGCACCTCAAATCCTGTGTTCAGTTTTGGGCCCTTCACTCCAAGAGAGACCTTGAGGTGCTGGAGCAGGGCCAGAGAAGGGCACTGGAGCTGGTGTGGGGCCTGGAGCCCAAGTGTGATGGGGAAGGGCTGAGGGACCTGGGGGGTTCAGTGTGGAGAAGAGAAGGCTCAGGGGGGACCTGATGGCTCCCTACAACTGCCTGAGAGGAGGATGGAGCCAGGAGGGGCTGGGCTCTGCTCCCAAGGAACAAGGGATGGGACAAGAGGAAACGGCCTCAAGCTGCCCCAGGGCAGGTTTAGATGGAGCTGAGGAACAATTCCTGCCCCAGAGGGTGCTCAGGCATTGGAACAGGCTGCCCAGGGCAGGGCTGCAGTCACCGTCCCTGCAAGTGTTCACACCCCATGGAGACGAGGCCTCAGTGCCGTGGGGCAGTGGTGACCTTGGCACTGCTGGGGAACGGTTGGACTGGATGGGCTTAAAGGGCTTTTCCAGCCTGGTTGGTTCCAGGATTCCATGATTCCTGTCCCTCAGCAAACCCTCCCCAGCCAGCCCAGTTTGCTGACCTGTGGGGCTGCCTTGGGAAGCTGCTGGAGGGGATTGCAGGGTGGGATCCCTGCGGCCAGCACGGAGGTGGCAGCGTCCCTGCTCCGTGTCCCGGGGATGCTGTGGGCTCAGCAGTGCTGTCCTGTCCCTCCCTGCTCCGTGTCCCTGCTCCGTGTCCCCGCTCCGTGTCCCTGCTCCGTGTCCCCGCTCCGTGTCCCGGGGATGCTGTGGGCTCAGCAGCGCTGTCCCGTCCCTCCCTGCAGAGCGGCAGATGTTCCTGGCCACGTGGAAGGACATCCCCAACGAGAACGAGGCCCAGTTCCAGATCAAGGACTGCTCCCTCAATGCAGGTGGGTCCAAACCCTCCCCAAGGCCCTGGCCGCTGGGGAGCAGCTCATCCTGGTGATCCCAGCCCAGGCTCCGGGGAGGCCGGAGCCCCAGCCCCGTGTGCTCCAGGAGGGAGCTGCTTTGCTCGCCCTGGACTCATGGTGGAGACCTGGGAGATGCTCTGGGGTCCCTGCATGGGGACGGCTGCTGGGGGTCGGTCTCTATGGAGAAGCCTGTCCCGGCCGCCTTGGCAGCTCCCAGCCCCTTCTCCAGGTGCCAGGCAGGATGAGCACACCCTGGTCGGGGGCATCCAAGTCCTTTCCATCCCTGTGGCAGCAGGGAGCTGAGCTTTGTGGGGTGGTTCCATGGGTGACCCGAGCTCTGGGCTGTCACCGTGGGGAGGAGCTGGGTGCTGCTCCTGGCTGTGTGGGGATGGAGGCTGCTGGACGTGCTGCATCCCACGCAGGGGGAGCTATGAGCAGAGCTGGGGTGAGCCCCATGCCCTGCCCCACAGCAGCTCTCTCCCCATGCAGATGCCATTAGCAGCAAGCTCCAAGGCAGCAACATCTTCACCATCGCCAAGAGGAACGTGGAGGGGCAGGACATGCTCTACCAGTCCCTGAAGCTCACCAATGGCATCTGGGTGCTGGCGGAGCTCCGGATCCAGCCCAGCAACCCCAGCTTCACGGTACCTCCCCTGCCCTTCCCCTTCTGCCTCCACGTCAACCCCGGGCTGAGGCTGCTCCAATGGCTCATCCATGGTGGTGGGACCCCCCCTCCACTGCCCCCCAGCTTCAGCTCCATCCCCTGTGCTGGTCCCAGTGGCCTGTGGGGAGGGTGGGATGGGGCCTGTGGGGCTGGCTGGGTGCTCAGCACCGCTCCTGGCTCTGTGGTGGCACCGAAAGGAGACCCCACACCTCCATTGACGTCAACCACAACCCCGTCCCCTCCTTGGGCACCCCCAGCTCAGCCCAGGTGCTGACAGCCTCAGAGCAAAGGCCTGGCTGTGATTTGGACCCAACCCATCCCCATGTCCTGCTGCTGGGGCCCATCCCTGTCCCTCGGGGCCGGTTTTCCTGGGGTTGGGATGAGCTGGGTCCCCTCCACTCACGTCTCTGCATCTCTGTCCCCGCTGCCCGTGCGCTCCGGCAGGATCTGGAGGTCAGGACGCTGGTTTGTACCTGCTTGGGGCTGTCCCTGCCTTGCTCCCGCTTCCATTCCCCAGCCCTGCCCATCCCTTTGGTGCCTCTTTGGCCTCAGGAGGTGACTCGGAGGGGCAGGATGCGCCCGTGCATCCCCAGGGAGGAGGGGAGCCGCACGTCCTTATCCCTGGCTCCGCACCCCTTTGCCTGCGGGCTGAGGAGGAGCGAGTTGGTTTCAGTCATTTAATCCTGAAGCAAATCACTGCTGAGGAGGAGGCGCCTTTGGGGGCACCGCTCCCCCTCCTGCAGCTGCAGGCAGGGATTGAAGCCTCTCTGTGTTCCTCTGCCCGGCCCCTGCATGCGCTGCGCCTGCCCCAGCAGCCAGGGACGGGGTTTGGATGCTCAGTGCCTTTTTGGTACCATCTCTGACCCCGCTGCGATGCAGAGCTGGGGCCGTGCTGTGCCCATGGGGGATGCTGCAGGCTGTGGGGCTGGGGAATGGGGCTGGGGCTGCGGGGCCGTGACCCCCATCCCTCCCTCTCTTCCCGCAGTTATCCCTGAAATGCCGCGCGCCGGAGGTGTCCCAGTACATCTACCAAGCCTACGAGACCATCCTGAAGAACTGAGGTGCTGCTGCAGCCCCTCGCCCTCCTCTCCTCCCGCTCCCACCCCAGGAAGCGGGGCAGGACCCATGTGCATGTCTCATCTCTCCTCTCCTTGCTCCCAAGGAGCCAGCCCTTGGGACCCTCCTTCCATCCCCACTGGGGCTGGGGTGAGCGGAGGAGGGCAAGGGCATCCCTGCATCCCTGTGGAGGTCCCTGTGTGAGTGATGCTGCATCCTCCTTGCTGAGCCCTCTGGGGGCTGCTGCTCTGCTTCACCCTGCGCCCATCCACCGCCCATGGTGGGCTCTGGGGGAGGGTTCAGCACCCATGGGCTCGCTCTGCAGCCATGGGAGAGGGTCTCCTCCTCATGGGAGCTGCTCCAGGGATCCCAGAAGGGCTCCAGGCTCTCAAACCTGAGGCTGTGCTTCCACGTGTAGCACAAAAAGGGCTTTTCCAGCCCCATCCAGCCCCTCTATGGGCCTGGGAGGGCTCCAAGCATCAATCATACTCCTCCCTCTGCCCCCTCCGAGCAGCCCCACGGCTCCCCACTGTCACCCATGGGTGCTGGCGAGGATGTGCTGCTCCTTCAACCCCTGAGCTCAAGCCATGGGTCACCCCTCCCTGGAAGCACTGGGTACAGGAGATATCTAATATATACACTAGAACTCTATGCTCTGGTCACGGTGAGTGATCCATGAAGGTGTTGTCTGCCCCCGGGGATGCTGCTGGGGTTGGGGGTCCCATGGGGTGAGCCCTGGCTGTGGAGATGGGCACCAGCACCCCCCCAGCACAGGGGCTCTGGCCCCCCATGGGGCGGTGCAGGGCTCTGGGATCCCCATAGTGGCTGTAGGATGGTCACCACCAGCAGGTCTCAACCCCACAGTGACCCACAGCCAGCCCTGCACAACAGCAGTGGGGCTGAGCCCCCTGCCATGGTAAAGCGCTGCCATGGGCTGCTGTGGAGACCTAGAGGGGTCCCCATGGCTGCAGGGGGTGCACCCTGAGCCCGGCTCTTCTCCCCATTGCTCCCAATGGAGGACCCCAGCCCTTTGGGCCGGGGGTCTCATCCCCTCCTGAGCAGGTCCGAGCCCAGGACACAGACTGGATGCACCGGGATCGGCTCCATTGGTCTTTACTGGCTGGGGGGGGGCACATGCGGGGCCAGGGGTGGGGGTCCCACCATAGGGACATCAGATGAGCTATATCCAGGCCTGATGGGCTGGAGAGAGGGAATGCAGGGTGGGACAGAGTCACCTCGGAGGAGGAGGGAGCAGGTGGAAAGGGGGTAAGAGAGGAGATGATGATGAGGATGAGGATGAAGGTGACCGAGAGGAGTGGACAGGAGAGGCGCAGCTGGGGTTGGAGCCGCTTCCTCTCCAGCCCTGTTCCCGTGTGCCCACGCTGCAGCTCCTTGCTCCGGCCCCGCTGCCTTTGTCCCCCACGGGACCGGGGCCCACCGCCAACAGTCCCCAAGCGCCGCAGGTCCGGGCCGGGTATCCGGTACCGCGGCTGCGGTCCGTCGGGGCCATCGCCATCACCCCGCGGGTGCCTCACGGCCACGAGTCCTCCTCCAGCCCCTGGTGCTCCCGCGGGGCCCAGGCGGGCTCCAGGAAGGAGGAGAGGACGCTCTGCAGAGCCCCCCACGGCCGGTGCCCCCCGGCCTTGGGGCTGCCGCGGGGGGGCGCTGCCCCACAGCCCCGCGGCGTGGGGATCCTCGACGGCTTCCTATGGGGCTGCGTGTCCAGGCGGGGCCGGGCGCGGGGCCGCGGCGGGGGGGGCTCGTCCTCCGCCGCTCCCCAGTCCGTGTCGGAGCCGGGGCCGTCGCCGCTCTCATCGGAGGAGCTGCAGGGAGGGGGCCGCGGCCCCGCACGGGCGGTGCGGGGGGGAGCGGCGGCTCCGGCCTTGGCGAAGACGCTGAGGGAGGATGAGGAGGAGCTGGAGGAGCAATAGGCGGAGTCGGCGGCGGGGGGCGCGGGGGGCGGCTCCGCCCGCTCCAGCTCGGCCATGGCGCGGGTGTTGGCGAGGAGCTCCCGCTCCAGCTCCCGCAGCAGCCGCTGCTCCTGAGCGGGCTCCAACCAGCGCGGGCCCCGCTCCGGCTCCTCCCGCGGCGGGGCGCGGCTCCACGAGTGCTGCCCGGCGGGGCCGCGGCTGATGAGGAGCAGCGGCTGCGCCCCGGGGCTGCGGGAGCGCTGCGGGGTGCGGGGAGGACCGGGGCTGCGGGAGCGCTGCGGCTCCGGCTCCTCGCGGGGTCTCGGGGCGCTCGAGGGGGCGCTGGGCACGGAGGAGGCCGAGGAGTCGCTGTCGCCCGAGCAGCGGCGGGCGCGGGGCCTGCGGGGACAGGGAAAGGAGGGGGGGGTCAGGGAGCATTGAAGCGGTACCCGTTGTACCCCAATGGTGACCCCCCTTGTACCCCAATGGTGACCCCCCCCCGTTGTACCTCAATGGTGACCCCCCCCTTGTACCCCAATGGTGACCCCCCCCCCGTTGTACCTCAATGGTGACCCCCCCGTTGTACCTCAATGGTGACCTCCCACCATTGTACCCCAATAGTGACCTCCCACCATTGCACTCCAATGGTGACCTCCTACCACTGCATCCCAATAGTGACCCCCATTGCACCCCAATAGTGACCCCCCCATTGTATCCGAATAGTGATCTCCATTGCACCCCAATAGTTACCCCCCCTGCACCTCAATAGTGACCCCCCCCACTGCATCCCTATAGTGGCCCCCCATTGTATCCCAGTAGTGATCCCCACTGCACCTCAATAGTGACCCCCCCCATTGCATCCCCATAGTCACCCACACTGACCCCAACACTGACCAAACACTGATGCCTATTGCCCCCCAACATTGCCACCCTATTGCACCCCAATATTGCCCCAACACTGCACCCATTATTGACCACTCCCCCATTCCCATTGTCCCCCATTGCTCCCCGTTACACACCCTCAGGCAACCTATTGTACCTCTTTGTCCCCCATTGTTCTGTTATTGCCCCCCATTGCTCCCCATTTCTCCCCCCACTGATCCCAACTGCACACCACCCTTGCTCTTCATTTCCCCTCATTGCCACCCTATTGCCCCTCCATTGCACCACTCCCACCATTGCCCCCACTGCACCCCTCCATTACACATCCCCTCTTACCCCCCATTATCCCATTCCAGACCCCACTGCCCCCATTCATCCCTATTACAACCCCCATTGATCTCCCAATGCACCCCCCATTGCCCCCCATTACACACCCCCATTCCCTCCATTGCCCCCTCACTGTCCTCCCATTCCACCTCCATTCACCCTATTGCCCCATTGCACCACCCCATTGCCCTAAAGTCCCCCTCATTCTTCACTCCCATTGCCCCCCATTGTCCCACCATTACACACACCATTGCCCCCCATTACATCCTCCCATTACAACCCCATTACACCCCCCATTGCCTCCCATTACAACCCCATTACACCCCCCATGGCCTCCCATTACAACCCCATTACATTCTCCCACTGCATCCCATTACAACCCCATTACATCCTCCCATTGCCCCCATTACAACCCCAATACATCCTCCCATTGCTTCCCATTACACCCCCTCACTGCCTCCCATTACACTCCCCCATTGCCTCCCATTACAACCCCATTACACCCCCCCATTACACCCCCATGTGGCTGGGCACTGCCATGGGTCTGATGTGTGCTGTGGGGCAGCAGTGGGTGCTCCCCCCATGCCCGCAGCGCCCGGTACCTGAGTGCGGTGCGTGCGGGGCTCCTGCCAGGGCTGCCAGGGCCGGTGTGTGGGGCTGAAGCCCTCCGCGGGGACCCCCCCTCCTGCCTGGAGCCAGGCCTGGGGGTGCCTGTGAGCCCCACGGCTCTGCTGGGGGGGCGCCGGGAGGGACCGGGGCTGGGGCAGGCGGGGGGAGCTCGGGACTGGCGGTGGGCTGCGAACAGAGGGGATGGGTCAGGGTCCATTGGCACCCATCGCACGCATGGTGACCCCATTGCACCATCGGCACCTATTGTACCCATTGGCACCTATTACACCCATTGGCACCCACTGCATGCATTGCACCTATTACACCCATTGGCACCCACTGCATGCATTGCACCCATTACACCCACTGGCATGCATTGCACCCATTGGCACCTATTACACCCAATTGGCACCCATTGAATGCATTGCACCCATTGGCACCTATTACACCCAAATGGCACCCATTGCATGCATTGCACCCATTACACCCACTGGCACTCACTGCATGCATTGCACCCATTACACCCACTGGCACTCACTGCATGCATTGCACCCATTACACCCAATTGGCAGCTATCGCATGCATTGCACCCACTGGCACCTATCACACTCAGTTGGCACCCATTCCATACATTGCATCCATTGGCATCCATTACACCCAACTGGCACCCATTGCATGCATTGCACCCATTGGCACCTATTACACCCAATTGGCGCCCATTGAATGCATTGCACCCATTGGCACCTATTACACCCAATTGGCACCCATTGAATGCATTGCACCCATTGGCACCTATTACACCCAATTGACAGCTATTGCATGGATTGCACCCACTGGCAGCTATTACACCCAAATGGCACCCATTGCATGCATTGCACCCATTACACCCACTGGCACTCATTGCATGCATTGCACCCATCATACCCAATTGGCAGCCATCACATGCATTGCACCCACTGGCACCTATTACACCCAAATGGCACCCATTGCATGCATTGCACCCATTACACCCACTGGCACCCATTGCATGCGTTGCACCCATCACACCCAATTGGCAGCTATCACATGCATTGCACCCACTGGCACCTATTACACCCAATTGGCACCCATTCCATACATTGCACCCACTGGCATCCATTACACCCAACTGGCACCCATTGCATGCATTGCACCCATTGGCACCTATTACACTCAATTGGCACCCATTGCATGCATTGCACCCATTACACCCAAATGGCAGCTATTGCATGCATTGCACACACTGGCACCTATTGCACCCATTGCATGCACTGCACCCATTACAGCCACTGGCACTCATTGCATACATTGCACCTATTGGCACCTATTACACCCAGTTGGCACCCATTCCATACATTGCACCCATTGGCACCCATTACACCCAACTGGCACCCATTGCATGCATTGCACCCATTGGCACCCATTACACCCAACTGGCACCCATTCCATACATTGCACCCATTGGCACCCATTACACCCAACTGGCACCCATTGCATGCATTGCACCCATTGGCACCTATTACACCCAATTGGCACCCATTGAATGCATTGCACCCATTGGCACCTATTACACCCACTTGGCACCCATTGAATGCATTGCACCCATTGGCACCTATTACACCCAATTGGCAGCTATTGCATGGATTGCACCCACTGGCACCTATTACACCCAAATGGCACCCATTGCATGCATTGCACCCATTACACCCACTGGCACCCATTGCATGCGTTGCACCCATCACACCCAATTGGCAGCTATCACATGCATTGCACCCACTGGCACCTATTACACCCAATTGGCACCCATTCCATACATTGCACCCACTGGCATCCATTACACCCAACTGGCACCCATTGCATGCATTGCATCCATTGGCACCTATTACACTCAACTGGCACCCATTGCATGCATTGCACCCATTACACCCAAATGGCAGCTACTGCATGCATTGCACACACTGGCACCTATTACACCCAAATAGCACCCATTGCATGCACTGCACCCATTACAGCCACTGGCACTCATTGCATACATTGCACCCATTGGCACCTATTACACCCAGTTGGCACCCATTCCATACATTGCACCCATTGGCACCCATTACACCCAACTGGCACCCATTGCATGCATTGCACCCATTGGCACCTATTACACCCAATTGGCACCCACTGCATGCATTGCACCCATTGGCACCTATTACACCCAATTGGCACCCACTGCATGCATTGCACCCATTGGCACCTATTACACCCAATTGGCACCCACTGCATGCATTGCACCCATTGACACCCATTACACCCAACTGGCACCCATTGCATGCATTGCACCCATTGGCACCCATTACACCCAGCTGGCACCCATTCCATGCATTTCACCCATTGGCACCCATTACACCCAACTGGCACCCACTGCATGCATTGCACCCATTGGCACCTATTACACCCAATTGGCACCCACTGCATGCATTGCACCCATTGGCACCTATTACACCCAATTGGCACCCACTGCATGCATTGCACCCATTGGCACCTATTACACCCAATTGGCACCCACTGCATGCATTGCACCCAGTGGCACCTATTACACCCAATTGGCACCCACTGCATGCATTGCACCCATTGGCACCTATTACACCCAATTGGCACCCACTGCATGCATTGCACCCATTGGCACCTATTACACCCAATTGGCACCCACTGCATGCATTGCACCCATTGACACCCATTACACCCAACTGGCACCCATTGCATGCATTGCACCCATTGACACCCATTACACCCAACTGGCACCCATTGCATGCATTGCACCCATTGCAATCATTGGCACCCATGGTGTCACTCACTCCATGTATTGCACCAACTGGCACCCATCGGCACCCACCGCATCCATTGGCACCCATCGCACCCACAGCCCCATCCCAACCAGGGGTCCCCAGGACGGGGTCACCACCTCCATTGCAGATGGGTCAGGGAAGGGAGGCCCAGAGCGGATGGACTGGGGAGAGGATGGGGCACTGCGAGAGGGCGTCACTATTATGGGATGTCACTGTTATGGGGTGCCATTGTTATGGGGTGTCACTGTTATGGGGTGTCACTGTTATGGGGTGTCACTGTTATGGGGTGTCACTGTTACGGGGTGTCACTGTTATGGGGTGTCACTGTTATGGGGTGTCTCTATTATGGGATGTCACTGTTATGGGGTGTCACTGTTATGGGGTGTCACTGTTACGGGGTGTCATTGTTAGGGGTGTCACTGTTACAGGGTGTCACTGTTATGGAGTGTCTCTATTATGGGATGTCACTGTTACAGGGTGTCGCTGTTTTGGGGTGTCGCTATTATGGGGTGTCACTATTATGGGGATGTTAATATTACGGGATATCACTGTTATGGGGTGTCACTATTATGGGGTGTCACTGTTACGGGGTGTCACTGTTATGAGGTGTCTCTACTCTGGGATGTCACTATTATGGGGTGTCACTTTTACAGGGTGTCACTGTTATGGGGTGTCACTGTTATGGGTGTCTATTATGGGATGTCACTGTTATGGGGTCTCACTGCTATGGGGTGTCTCTATTATGGGACGTTACTGTTATGGGATGTCACTGTTACGGGGTGTCAATATTACAAGGTGTCGTCGTTATGGGGCATCAATGTTATGGGGTGTCTCTATCATGGGATGTCACTATTATGGGATGCCACTGTTGTGGGGTGTCACTATTATGAACTGTCACTGTTAAGAGTTGTCACTATTATGGGGTGTCACTGTTATGGGGTATCACTTTTATGGGATGTCAGTATTATGGGGTGTCACTGTTATGGGGTATCACTTTCATGGGATGTCAGTATTGAGGGGTGTCACTGTTAAGGGATACCACTATTATGGGATGTCACTGTCATGGGGTGTCACTATTATGGGATGTCACTATTATGGGGTGTCACTGTTATAGGGTGTCCCTGTTATGGGATGTCACTATTATGGGATGCCACTGTTGTGGGGTGTCACTATTATGAACTGTCACTGTTAAGAGTTGTCACTATTATGGGGTGTCACTGTTATGGGGTATCACTTTTATGGGATGTCACTATTATGGGATGTCACTATTATGGGATGTCACTGTCATGGGGTGTCACTATTATGGGATGTCACTGTTATGGGGTGTCACTATTATGGGATATCACTGTTATGGGGTGTCACTATTATGGGATGTCACTGTCATGGGGTGTCACTATTATGGGATGTCACTGTCATGGGGTGTCACTATTATGGGATGTCACTGTTATGGGATGCTTGGGCACTCACCAAGTGAGGCGCAGCGGCACGGGTCGTGCTTGTCCAGGTAATGCTCCAGCGTGTCCCATCCGCCCCCCACGCGCACCATCACGTGGCTCCGGAGCACCTGCAGCCCCCCGGGACACCTGCGTCAGGGGGGGCACAGACACCCCCAGTGCCCTGTGTGGGGCAGCAGTGGGGACGCAATGGGGACACAAGGGGGGCACAATGGGGTCACGGTGGGTGCTGGCTCTTACCCGCACGAAGATGAGGGTGTTGGAGTCCCCCACTTTGTACTTCCCCTCTGAGACCTTGACCATGGGGAACTGGGAGGGGCAGGAGCAGCATTCCAGGATCTCCCGCACCTGCAGCGGGAGCGAGGGATCAGTGGGGCCAGACCCTGCTATGGGGCAGCCCCTAGGATGGGTGCACCCAGAGGGGACAGCGGAGCTCCCTGGGTGCCACCCCTGCAGCACCCACAACCCATGGGAGATGGACCTTGGGGGGGTCCTATGGACACCCACCCCTTAGCAGGCTGAGAATGGGCACAACTCACTCCATCTGCCACCTATGGAGCCCACGTGTGCCCGGACCCTGGTGTGGGGAGCACAGAGCACCCCAAAGCTGGGAACATCCCTCCCTGACCCATGGGGGGTTTGAGCACCCCACTATGGGGCAGGGACCCCCAGCATCCCATGAGCACCCATAGAAAGGGATTAAATCCCACCCCCCTCAACATAACAAGACAAGGGGAGGGTTCGGGCGGTTCCCCCCCCCCATAACAGGGGACCCCATAGCAGAGGTGCCCCCACAGCTCCCTGCCTGCTCTGTGCCTCCTGCCTGCGCTGACGTCAGGGATCAGGCCGGGATCCAGGGGGGATGCAGGGACACGGCCACATCCTGCCCTGGCCTTAGGGCCACGGAGGGCAGGGGGGGCTCGGGGGGTCCTGACCCTGCTGCCCCCCTAGGACACACACAACGGCTCCATGGGTCCGGATGCGGCCCCACAGGCTCCTCCCCGGCTCCGGCGCTGCCCATAAAAGCCCATGGAGAGGAATTACGCAGCCCGGAAAAATGCGGCGCTGGGATGGGGGGGAGCCGACAAGAGGCAGGATGTGACCCCCCCCCCCCCAATCCCCTTCCTCAGCATCCCCAATGGGGAATGGGGGTCTCATTGGAGGTGCTCTGAGTTTAGGGCTCAGGGGAGGGAATTCCCCCCCCCCCGTGTCCCTGTGTTAATCCGGCTCCTGCTCCCAGCCCAGCTCTAATCCCCGCTGAGCCGGGCGGGGGGGGGGGCACCCCCTTGTCATGGCTGTTTGTCCCCATGTCCCTCTGTCTGTCCCCATGGTGCTGGCGGGGGGGGGGGGCAGGTCCTGTGCCCCCCATTGCCATGGGGAGGAGGGGATGCAGGGACAGGGGGTGACGCTGGGGTCCCGTCTGTCCCCTCCCAGTCATTGTGGCCATGGCCACCCCCCCCACATAACCCATCCTGACGTCAGGAGGCCACTGAGGACCTCCCACCGGCCACCAAGAGCCCCATTGGGTGGATAGAGAGGACCTCCTATGGGTCATAGGGACCTCCCCTGGACCATAGAGCACCCAGTGGGTGGGTAGAACCTCCCATGAGCCATAGGCACCTCCCCTCGACCATAGAGCACCCATTGGGTGGATGGAGAGGATCTCCTATGGGCCATAGGGATGGGTGGGACCTCCCCTGGACCATAGGGCACCCATTGGGTAGATGAGAGGACCTCCCATGGGCCTCAGAGCCATAGAGCACCCCATTGGGTGGACAGAGAGGACCTCCCATGGGCCTCAGAGCCATAGAGCACCCCATTGGGTGGATGCAGAGGACCTCCCATGGGCCATAGGGACCTCCCCTGGACCATAGAGCACCCATTGGGTAGATGGAGAGGACCTCCCATGGGCCTCACAGCCATAGAGCACCCCATTGGGTGGATGCAGAGGACCTCCCATGGGCCATAGGGACCTCCCCTGGACCATAGAGCACCCATTGGGTAGATGGAGAGGATCTCCTATGGGCCATAGGGATGGGTGGGACCTCCCCTGGACCATAGAGCACCCATTGGGTAGATGGGGAGGACCTCCCATGGGCCTCAGAGCCATAGAGCACCCCACTGGGTGGATAAGGAGGACATCCCATGGGCCATAGGGACCTCCCCTGGTCCACAGAGCACCCCACTGAGTGTAGAGAGAGGCCCATAGAGCCCGTTGGGTGAAGCGCTGGCCCCACAGTGGGTCTCACCAGCTCATCCAGGTTCTTCAGGTCGCAGAGGGAGATGGGTCGGGCCTGCCCGGGGTACGAGGGTGCTTGTGGGTCCCGGCCCTCCTGGCGCCGGGTCCCCGTTGGGTCCCTCATCTCCTCCTCGATCTCCTCCTCCATCTGGATGAGCATGGGGGCCAACATGCCGAACCTGGCTCCCCGCCGCGCCACCTCCAGCAGGCAGAGCACAAAGTTCTTCTCGTTCTTCTTCAGCACCAGGTCGTTGGTCTCGAACATGAGCACGTCCTGGATGCCCAGCTCCTGCCGGCACCACCGGATGAAGTTGGAGACGTTATCCCTGGCCACGAAGGAGCCGGGCGCCACGTTCTTGGCCTGGAACTGCACCTCGTTGCGGGGGACGCGGGCGCCCGGCTCCGGGTGCCGGCGCTGGAAGGCGCGGGCGCTGCGGGTGACGTTGTTGGCGTGGCGGCAGAGGTGAGCGCCCGTCTCCAGGCTCTCCAGGAACGTATCCGCATGGATGTCCAGGTCGTAGAGGGTGTTGAACCACTCGGCCAGGTCCTCCTTCATGGCCTCCAGGTACTCCTCACTTGAGCGGAAGGGACGGATGCTCTTGGAAGCAGCCGACTGGATGTGGCTGGGGTCGGCCATGGCTGCGGATGGATGGATGGATGGATGGATGGATGGATGGATGGATGGATGGATGGATGGATGGGGGGGGGGAGTATTTACCTTGCCTTGGTGTGTCCCCTCCCCGTGCCTCAGTTTCCCCTCACCCATAGACAGGTCCCCCCATGCTGAATGAGTCAGCTGCCCAGTCATGGTGTGCATCACCCCCCTGGGGAGGCCCGTGATGGAGCCATAGATACCCCCCTATTAGGGGTGCACTGGGGGATACCCCCATGGCTCCCCCCATCCAGCGGGGGGGGGGTAGAAATACAAGAGCTGGTGAATCCCCTCCTGGGGGTGCCCCAGTGACCCCCCCATTGCTCTGTGTGTGCACATCCTCCACTCCAGCCCCATGCCGGGGAGTGGGGGGGGGGTGTCTTCCTTTGGGGGTGTCAATACCCGGGGTCTCCCTTCCCTTTGCAGGGGAGTCCCCTGTGCCGGGGGTGTCTATGTCCCTGCATGGGGAGGGGGGTTCCTACTCAAGCCCCATACCGGGAGGGAGCCCTTCCCTTGGGAGATCCCTGTTTGGGGGGGGGGGGGGGCTGTTTCTACCAAGGTCCCACTCCCCTTTATTGGGGGGTCTATAGTTGGGGTCCCCCTTCCCTTTGCAGGGGGGTCCCCTCTGCTGGGGTGTTTGGGGGGGGGGGGAGATTCAGCACCTGCGCGGCCGATGCCGACATGGGGGGGGGGGGGGCACACACACACACAGACACGGACCCAAGGACCGGTGTCGTCCCCCCCCCCCCATCCCGCACTCACCGCCCGCTCCTCACTGCGCTACCGCCGCTCGGGGCCGCTCCTCCCGCCCGCTGCGCTCGGGGGGGGCCCCGCGGCCGCCATGCGGGGAGCGCCCGCCCCGCCCCGGCCGGGAAGTTGGAGGCGGGACACGGAGAAGAAAGGGGGGGGGGGAAACGGGGCGGGCGGGACGAAACGGCCCCCCCACCACCACCCTCTTCCTCCGCACTGGCTGCATGGCCGCGGATGGGAAGCGAGAGGTTGGTGCGGATACAAACAGCGGGGGTTTATTGGATCGGCATAAAAAAACCAACCGTCACAACCGGGAACAGCGGCGCCAACCGGGATCCGGGAATAACGGGAATAACGGGGGGGGGGGGGTAAGGAACCAACCGCCACAAGAACTGGTCGCGCGCCCGTAGGAGTGGGGGTTACGGGAGGTGTTTCATCTCTCTCGCGCCGTGGCCAACGTTATAAATATGGAATTAGAAAGTTAAAACTTTTCCTTGTTTCCGATTCATTTCTGCTTTAAAAAATAAATCTGGTAGGAAACGCAGCTCCGGGGGTGAGGATTGGGGGAAAGGGGGGGGTTGGTGTGTGTCTAGTAGGGCCGGTCTCGGCGCTCCTGGCGGTGTTCGCCCCTGTATGTGGATACACGGGGAATGGGTGGATCAGTGCTGGTGTCCTCAGGAGCCCCACTGAACACCCACCACCCACTGAACACCCACTGAATACCCAACACCCATTGAACGCCCACCACCCACTGAACACCCACTGAATACCCAACACCCATTGAATGCCCACCACCCACTGAATACCCACTGAACACCCACTGAATACCCAATGCCCACTGAACACCCACTGAATACCCAACACCCACTGAATACCCAACACCCACTGAACACCCACTGAATACCCAACACCCACTGAATACCCACTGAACACCTATTGAACACCCACTGAACACCCACTGAACACCTCAACATCCACTGAACACCCACTGAATACCCAACACCCACTGAATACCCACTGAACACCTACTGAACACCCACTGAACACCTCAACATCCACTGAACACCCACAGAACACCCAACACCCATTGAACACCCACTGAACACCCAACACCCACTGAATACCCACTAAACACCTACTGAACACCTACAGAACACCCACTGAACACCTCAACATCCACTGAACACCCACTGAATACCCAACACCCACTGAATAACTCAACACCCACTGAATACCCGTTGAACACCCACTGAACACCTCAACACCCACTGAACACCCCAACACCCACTGAACATCCCCTGAGCACCCAAACCCAACAGGGCCCCAGTGTGGCCCCGTCCCGTCCCCCTCCCCTTGCCCAAAGCACCCCCATCCCTCCCCATACGCACTTGTCCATCTTCCCTGGTCCTCCGCGCCGCCCGCCGCGGCCGCCGCCTCCCATGGGCTCCATCAGGGGTCCCGGGGGCCCCCCAGGTCCTCCTCCTCCTCCTCCTCCTCCTCCGCCGCGGCGGCCGCCTCCTCCGTAGCCGCCTCGGTCCATGCCCCGGCCGCCACGGAAGCCTCCTCGGTCGCCACCGCGGCCGCCTCGGAACATGGCCCCGGGGCCGCCGCGCTCCATGAGGCCACCGCCGCGCCCGCCGCGCATCCCCCCGGGGCCGCCCCGGCCGCGGTCACCGCCTGTGGGAGGGGAGAGCCTCAGAGGGGAGAAGCTGCCCTGTGCCGGGCGCTGCTCCGGCATCGGAGCTGCTGGGAATGCCGGGGGATGTCAAGGGGGGAGTGGGAAGGGGACTTGTTGGAGGGCACTGCCCAACAAGGGGCGAGTGCTGAAACCAGGGCCAAGGAGCCCCAAGAGGAGCTCAAAGGAGAAGCCTCACGGAGGAACCCCAAAGAGGAGCCCCAAGGAGAAATCCCAAGGAGCAACCCAAAGGAGGAGCCCCAAAGAAGAATGCCAAGGAGGAGCCCCAAAGAACACCAAGGAGGAGCCCCCAAGAAGAACGGCAAGGAGGAGCCCCAAAGAAGAACGGCGAGGAGCCCCAAAGAAGAATGCCAAGGAGGAGCCCCAGGAGAGCCTTGAGGAGGAACCCCAAAGAGCAGACCCAAGAACAAGCCCCAAGGAGGAGCACTGGCAGCAGAGGAAGCGCTGGGAAGTGTGTGAGGAACAGAAAGCAGAGGAGCCCCAGCCTCCATTTCACAGCTCCTGAGGGATGGAGCCACAGCAGCTCCAGGAAGAGCTGCTCCCGGAGGAGCACGACCCAGGATCAGGGCTGTGTCCGCCCCACACACACACCTGGAGGTGGGAATGGCGGTGGCAGGAACCCCTCGGGCTTGGGAGCCTTGCACTGGTTGCACTCTGTTCGCCAGGCGAAGTTCTGGTTCCCGCAGCCCCTGGGGACAAGCAGCAGTCAGCAGGGAGCGGGAAGGCGCTCCGGGATCATTCCGGGATGAGGGATGCTCACAAGCCCCAGGGATACTCACGGGTTGGGACATTGCCAGTCACCAGCTCGGTGCTGGACGCTCCCTCCGGAGGGGTTCCCCCTGGATCCCCGCGGTCCTCTGGAGGAGAAGCCGCCCCGGTCTCCACCTCGGCCTCCCATGCGCCCCATGGGGCCGCTCGGCCCCCCTGGACCTGCAGGGATGGTTCATTGGTGCCGTGGCCCTGGCTGGAGGGCAGGGAGCACCCACGGGTGCTGCTTGCCCAGGCAGGGTGCTCTGGGGACGTTACCTCCGCGCAGGGGGGGCGGCATTCCGCGCTGCTCCCGGGGCGGCATCCCGCCCCGCATGCTGTTCATTGGGCCCTTCTTCCGCGCCAACGTCACTTTGAGCTTGCTGCCCTGGAAATCCTTCCCTGGGAGGAGGAAGATGAGGGCAAGAGCATCACTGCTGCTGGCCTCGGCTCCTCCATGGGCACCAAGGCGTTAAGTGGTGCAGGAGAAGGTGCCAGCACCACCCAAGCACCGCACTTGTCAGCCCAGTTACACCCAGGAGCTTCTTAGGCTGAAGCTTGACCACCTAAAGCTGGCCTTGGGCCACTGCTGATCCTCCACACCCCGAGAGGACACAAACGCTTGAGGAAACAGCCTCAAGCTGCCCCAGGGCAGGTTTAGATGGAGCTGAGGAACAATTCCTGCCCCAGAGGGTGCTCAGGCATTGGAACAGGCTGCCCAGGGCAGGGCTGCAGTCACCGTCCCTGCCAGTGTTCACACCCCGTGGAGACGAGGCCTCAGTGCCATGGGGCAGTGGTGGCCTTGGCAGGGCTGGAGAACGATTGGATGTGATTATCTTAAAGGGCTTTTCCAACCTGGTTGGTTCTGTGATTTTAAGCTGCCTTTGACCAGACAAGGATTTAGCTCCATAATGGCAAAGTGTTTCCACCCCAAAACACCCCCTGCACACACTCACCATCAAACCACTCCACGGCTGTCTTGGCAGTGGATGGGTCATCATAAGATATGGTGGCATCTCCTTTTGGTTTGCCAGTTTCCTTGTCCATGTAGAGGTGTATCATGGGCTGCCCAGTCCTCTTGTTCATCTAGAGCAGGCCACAGACATCCCCTCAAGCCACCTCTCACCACAAGCCAAGCAGGGATTTGTTCTCCTCTGTTCTGCTCTCAACTCAAACAACCCTCAGTTTGGTGGCTCCATGGCACAAGAAAGGCCCCTTTGGTTTAGCAGGAGCAGCAGCTGCTGCCCAGCCAACCCAACCAAGGGAGGAACTGGTCCAGGACCAAAGGCTTCTCCCAGGTGCACCTTGGCTGTGCAAGAGCCAAGCTGCAGCCTCCCCACGTCCTCCTCCTCGATCCCCAGCACCCTGAGCCCTCTCACGTCCCACCAGCAGCAGATCCACGCTTCCTCCACAGCCTCATCAGGTTCAAGAGACAAATGAGGCTCTTTAGGAAGCACGAGCTAGAGGTTAACACTGGCTGGGGTCATTGTGCTGCCCCACCAGCTCCTGGGAGCAAAGGGCTGAAGGGAGATGAGCTCCGTGCTCCAGGATGGGTGATCCCTGTCCCCCACCAGCCAGGAGCCAACCTTCACGTGCGTGTGTCCCTCACCTTGACAATTCCACACTGCTTGAAGAAGTCTGTCAGATCCTCCAGGGTCACGTTATCATTGAGTCCCTGCACGTACACGGAACTGTTGTCTGAGTCCTCATCTGGATCCATGGTGGGGCCTGGGAGGGAATTCAGGGCGTCAGGGTAGGATACTACACTTCAAAGTGCTTTTCATCATGGAGCTGCAGCTTTGCTCCCAAGGAGTGTGTTCATGAGGTGACAGACTCCCAGGCACTGGGAGCAGTGACCCTACCCCACCATCTCCACGCAGGTGAGACCATGGGGTTAAACCACTTGGTGCTAATGGAAGACATGGAGATGAGGATGAGGGATTGCTCCGCATCCTTTTGGCTCCCACACCCGGATGTCCACCCCATGCTGACACATCACTTCCAGACACGCCTGTGCAACAGGAAGAGTTGCATGGCAACGGGCTGGAATGGCACAAGGGGAGGCTACTGGGTGAGCTCTGGGCTAAGCCTGCTGCAAACAGGGTTTGTGCTGACCCAGGTACAGAGCAGCACCCCCAGGTTCTTGTGCCTCACAAGTAAGTGTGGTTTTCCAACAGCCTGACAAGTTGGGACTCATGAAATAGCTGGAAGGAGCCCTCCTGTAGCTGCCACCCTCACGAGGAGCAGGGAACGGGCAACGAGTTGGTGCCTTACCTAAATCAAGATCCGGTCCTTCTTCCATGTGTCCTGCCAGTGGGGAAAGAATCATAAGAAGCCGTGTTAGTGCAGGCCTTGGGGGCTGCAGAACCGACACACACAACACTAGCTACGTAAAACCACCGTGCGATGGCGCTGGTTAAACTCAGCTTGACCTGCACTGCAGACAGAGCAGCAACGCACCCTCTCGGCCCGGCCGCCTGCTGGTCTGAGCAGCTCTCCAACCATTAACCACTAGGACACTGGCTCGTTTTACTGCTTTACCAGGCCAATTGGTTGTCATTAAAGTTACTTTTATATAACAGTTATTAAATGCAATTAATTCTTTGCCTCCCCACATTACACAGAGCGGTTGCTCAATTCCTCCACGTTACCCTGTGTCCTGTAAGCGCAGTTATTGCCGGCAGTGCCCGTGGCATGGGGCATTTTAACCACTTTAAACGAATAACAATTACACTTTGTGCTACAAACTGACTGCAATTTGTTATTATTTTTTTTTTTCTTTATTAAACACTATCCATTGTAATGCTCAAAAACTTACCACCAGGCTTATTGAAGCCACCTCGCTCTCCAGCGCTGCTGGGGGGATAAACGAAGAAATGAAGGCCTTTCCCTTTACAAAGCCAGGACCGCTCTGAGCCTCTGCGGCTCACTGGGGAAGAAGGGCACTGGCTAAAACATCTCCAAACAATGCATCTGTCTGTCTGTCTCTCATCTCGGCACTATGCCTTTCTTCAGGGCAGCTCGCTCAATTTTCCTTTACGTATAAGGCAACCTCGTGTGCTTTGAGCCCACCACCTTGCTTGGCGGAACCCTTTGCGTTACTTGGAGGGGGTATTAGCAGTGCAATACTCGCAGCTCAAAAAAGAACCACGGTGTAGAGAGTTTAGAAGATCAGGTTTTGGCCTCATGGTGGGGCTGGGCGGCTGGGCAGCTCCCTCCCCTCGGTGTGTACACAAAGGTGCACCCTCAGCCCCTTGCAGCGCACGGAGCCCGCGCGGCCCTGACATTAACAGTTCAACAGGTAGGAGACAACCACACGCGATGCCTACAACACAGTTCAGCTCACATTGCCTCATCCCCTCGGTAGAACACCCTTTTACAGCACTGAGTTTAACAAGTGGAAGGGAGAACTTAACAGCATTACAGCGGGGGCTCGGGGGCCTGGGGTGCAGCTTTGTGGACACACGCCGTGTCTCGGTGCAAAGGGAAAGCTGTGGCTGAAGCCTTCACAGCTTAAAGAGCGCTTCCAAGCACTGGGTAATTGGGAAAATGCCACCTGGGAAGGATTTGGCTGCTTCTCCCTCGCTTTGGGAGAGGCACAAAGGCTGTTTGGAAGTGGAGGAGCGGAGGAGGGAGAGCACTGCCTGGTTTTTAGCAAGTATTGCACCTCTAATACTGGGGGAGAAAAGAGTTTGTCAATACAGAGATTCAAGGTGTTGC